AAACAGGAATAGCCATGAATTAGAGGTAAAGAGATCCAGTTATCACTATAAATTTTTGTACTTTTAGAATTTTATCCCATGAATATATTATATTGCCTCAAAATTTTAATTTCAATCAATTTTACTGATTGATTTCTGAACACAGAGCAGATAAAATGTATGTAAATTAAAGCATATTATCATCTTTGCTTTGTATAAAGCAAAATAAAATACTTCTGATTTATACTGAAAACTAGCCTCAATGTTTTTCAACATGCTAGTTTTCAAAAACTGTTACACAGGAAAACAGAAAAGAAAAAAGGAACTGCTTTGGGATTTAAAAGATCAATATAGAATACATAGAACTAAGTGAGAAGTTTTTATAAGGGTTTTATTAGGTACAATACAACATTGTTAACTGAGATTAATTAGGTAAAAAAAAGTCTAAATTATTTATATCTAGAATACTAATAACAATGATTTCTATAATAATATATAAATGTATGTTAGTTAAATTATTAAATTATAGAAATTATTATATAATTCTGTATAATAACAATAGTTGATATTTTTCCTAGCAATATTTTAAGTGCTTTAAAAATCAACTAACAACAGTGGTTCTCAAATTTTTTGGTCTTAGGACTTGTTTTACACTCTTAAAAACCAAAACATTCAAAGAGGTTTTGTCTATATGGGTTATGTTTATCTATATTTACTGTATTAAAAGTTAAACCTGAAATCTTAAAAGTATTTATTTATTAAATGACTTATGAATAACAAATCCACTATATTTACATAAATAATTTTTATTTAAAAAATAACTATTTTCCAAAACAAAAATTAATTTAATTAGAAAAATGGCATTATTTTACATGTTTGCAAGTCTCTGTAATGTCTGGCTTAATAGAAGACCACAGGATTCACATATCTGCTCCTGCATTCAATCTGTTACAATATTATATGTCATAAAGCCTTTGAAACACTCCAATATACACTGGTGAAAAAATGAGAATGAAAATAGCAAATAATGCCTTAGATATTTTAATAAAATAGTTTTTACTTGAAGAGCCCCTGAAAGGGTCTTGGGAACACATAGGCATCCCTTAACCACACTTTGAGAACATCTCTTTAAACCAATTAATGAAATATATAAGAAAACTGAGGCACAAAGTAGATAAAGAAGCAACCCACAGTCATAAAGTTAGGACTGAAACTCAGGAAGCCTGGTTCCAGATGCCAGGGCTGCCCCTCATAGGTATAAAGAAAGCAGCAGGGGCCCATGTGATGAGGCACCCACAGGCTGCTGCAGTCAGTACACCAGAATACAGCAGATTTACTCTCTATCCAGGAAGCTCTGGTGGTGCAGTGCCTAAGGCATTTAACTGCTAATCAGAGGGTCAGAGGTTCAAACCTACCAGCCACTCCTTGGAAGGAAGACTAGGCAATCTTCCATAGAGATACCACCTTGGAAACTCAAGGAGGAGGTGAGTTTGGTTTTGTTTGTTGTTGTTGTTACTCTCTATCTAAGGAGCTCTTGTGGCATGGTACCTAAGGCATCTGACTGCTAACCAGAAAGTTGGTGGTTCAAACCCACCAACTGCTCTGAAGAAGGAAGATGGGGCAATCTACTTCTGTAAAGATGGATTGACTCAATGGCCCTGGATTTGGTAATTTATTTATTTATTTATTTTCGATCTAATGTGATAAATTTGCAAATTAAATATTTCAATTCATATGAAACAAAAGAAAGGGGCAGTGATGATAACCACCATAAACTTACCTCTAAAGTAGCCTACGTCTACGCTTTAAGGGAAATAGTACCATACCTTCACCTGAGGGATAACAAACATTAGGGGAAGAACAGCCAAATACTCTGGAAGCCTCACTTGGAATAGCTTTCCCCTCCCTGCCCAAACCAAGCCATTCCGTCTTTTGAATGTTCACTCCATTTAAAGACTCTTCTTTATACCACTAAAGTCTTATACAGAATACCCCTTTCAACTCTTAATTAAAATGTTTAAAAAGAAAAGCAGGGAAACTAATATGCTGCATAAACTTTCACCAAAAAATGCAGTATTTTTTATTTTTTTAAAAAAAGAGAAGAGTAATAGAAACTAGTTCTATTAGATTTTGAAGCATCTTATAAATTGATAAAATTAAAAGTGTTGAACTTGTATAAGACTAAAAGGTAATACAATGGATACAAGGCTCAACTTAGACCCAACTTAGCGTATTTTTAAACAGTCTAACAATTCAAGAAGTAAACAAAATAAACTGTTTAGCAATTTGAAAAAATAAAAAGTCTATTTAGACCTTCACTTTTAATCAGCTATCAAAAGAAACTCTAGATACATTAACTGTTTTTACAAATGGAGAGAAAGCAAGGCCACAAAAACCAAGAACAGGCCACATTCATCATGGTACCCCCAGTGCCTAGCTCAGGGCAGGTGCAAAGACTTGGAAAATGCTGCCCAGAATAGAAGGAACTAATTTGGATTCCAACTCTGCTGCTAACTTATTGCATGATCCTGGGTAAATCATTTTGCTTCTCTGTCCTTAATTTTCCATTTATAAAGAGTAGCAATGAGTCCAGCAGCATAACATCATTATATAAATTAATAGGAGCTCTGGTAGCATAGTGGCTAAGGCACTTAACTGCTAACAAGAAGGCTGGCGGTTCAAACCCACCAGCCACTCCTCGGAAGGAAGGTTGGGCATTCCTACTTCCATAGTGATACTGTCTCGGAAACCCAAGGAGGGGTCGCTATGAGTCAGGGCAGACTCAATGGAAAACAACAACAACAAATATAAATTAATGTAAGGAATAAAGATTGCATCCATCCATTTTGCTATTATTCATATATGCTCAATATTTTAATGTTAAAAACAATACCATTTTTTTAGGGACCTTCTTTATTCAATAAAGTATTCAATTTCAGTTGTAAAATATGCATGTTGAGTCTGGGACTCAGTAAAATTACTTTCATTTTTAATGGGAAAAGATGCAGCCCATAAACACATTCATTTTTCCTGAATTGACCCTTCTACCAAAAAGGCCTTGTATTATTGTTCTACATCACTAAAGAGTTTCTCTTTTCACTGCTATGGCCAGACAGTCCACAGGGAGGAGCTAAGCCATAAAGGACAATGGGGGCAATGTGACACAGCAAAAGCTTTGCAATTAAAAAAATCTTGACGTGACCTTGACCACACTACTTAACTTCTTATTTCCAAAAATGAAGATGTCCATTCTTACCACACAAATAAATTAGTTAAAATGAGCCCCTAGCACTCAACAACTCCTGCTGTTGTGTCAGAAAGCAGTCCTTAAGTAACTCTTGATTTCTTTTCTCTCCCCTTCTTTCTCATAAAGCTATACTGGTCTTTCTCTTAGGTCCCTGGGTGGCATAAATAGTTTGTGCTCAGCTGATAATAGAAAGGTTGATGGGTCAAACCCACCCAGTGGCACTGTGGGAGAAAGTCCTGGCAACCTGTTTTCATGAAGATTACAGCCAAGAAAATCCAATGGTGCTCATTTTTACTCTGTAATACATGTGGTCTCCATGAGTCAGAATCAACTCGATGGCAATTGGTTTTTGTTTTTGGGTTTTAGTCTTTCTTTTACTTTGCCTGACTTCACTATCAATATCTTTCTCCTCTGCTCCCAGAAGAACCCTCCAGCTTCAGTGAGAGGTCTGAGGTCAAGTCACATGCCACTCATATATTTGGTCCCTCCTGAATCCTATCACCATTCATTTTCCTACCAGGATACTCACAGTAAGGATACCATGTTCCACTGGGTGTCATCCACATAAAATGTGATGTGAACAGAGAACACTTAGCCCTGTGCAACACTGCAAACCCACATAGTGCTCTCATACTCCCTTGGCAAAAGCTGAGCCAAGGTTCACATAATGCCTACTACAGTTAAAGGTGCTGGACCCCATTCCCCACCTCATCCACTGTAGTAGGGCCCATAAACATAGTTGAGGTATAAAATAAAATTTTATAAAGTGTTACTAGAAAGTAATGAAACTGATTGCATTCCCTACCTGGAGTTATATCTTGTAGCTTCAGGAATGAGGAAGTAAAGAATACATAGAGTTACAATTTGTCATAGATGAAGTCTGATATAATTTATTCAGTTTAGCTCAAGTTTAAAGCACTAGCTCACAAGACTAGCACTGGAAGTGATGGCACTGGTTTATATAAACATCAAATAGTTCCTTTCCAGTACCATTTTAAAATCACTTCCCACTGCTTTGCTGGCCTCTAAAACTAACGGCAATGCTAAAACCTAAAGAACTAGGTTCTGAGTCTTGGGATTATGATCCTATCAAATAACCCTCATTTAGCCTGGTCTTCTAGAAGAATGGTTTTTTATTTTCTTTGATAAATATATGACATGTATCCTATAATTTCTATTAGGCTCACGTAGTAGTTTCCTTTACCTTTTGCCTGTTTTTTTTTTTTTTTTTTGGTGGTGGTTTATTTTTTTGTTTAGTCTCAAACTATTGTTTCCTAGTCTTCTGTTGCAGAAATATTAGTATTCATGTCTTTCTCTTATCTTTTTATCTTATTCTGTGTGAGTTCTTTTTGTTATTTTAACTGGGAAGTGTACAATACTATTACTTAAGCATCATTAATCTTTCTTTGTAATATGCCATTCATGGCTTCATTATATACATTTATATGTTTTAAACTCAAGTTCTGTTCATTTATAAAATAAATACTTATTGAGTGCCAACTATGTGCCAAGCACTGGAAAAGCTACAGTGCAGTTAATTTCCTTCACAGATTTTATAGTCTATAAATTGGAATGGAAATGCAGGTCTATTCTTTCCACCAGACTATGAAAAATAAGAGCCAATAGTGGCAAAAAGTTTTTACAAGGCACAAGAAAAGAAATACTGCAAATGACATAATAAATCCAAGGTACAATGTGAAGAGAAAAGGACCCTCTTCTATTTTAGCAGTTCCATCAGTACTTTAGAATTCTAACAAAGAAAACATTTCCAAACCTCACATCCACTGTATTATTAGACTCATGGTCAAACACTTCAAAAGCTTCTTTGATTTTCTTGTGAAATTCTGCTACTGTTAACTCTGCAAAAGACAAACCAAATACAAATTACTTTACTTCAATTTTGAATTTAAAACAAACAGTTCAATAACAAAACTAGAAATTCTTAATAAGGAGGAACATGAAGAACTCTTTCCTAATCTTAACATATCATTTAACATTTAAATTCCTTTGGACATCTCAAAGAATAGAACAAACTAATTTTTTTTAACTATTTTACTAATGCATAATCCATGTACAATAAAGTACTAAAGGTACACTAACCTTAAATACACAGCTTGATGGGGTTTTACATGTGTAATACATTCATGGAACCACCACCAGATCAATATAAAGAACATTTCCAGCACTCACAAACAGGAGTCATTTTATGTCCCTTCACAGTCAGTATCTCCCCTCCTTCTTCAAAGTTAGTGCTATTTTGACTCTGTAATCATCAATTCATTTTGCCTGTAGAACAGCCTACTTTCTATCTCAGGTAGTTGGGGTAGAGCTTGAACCTGAGAGGCAGAAGGAATCTGATGCAACAGATATTGATTATGCATCAATTGTGTGTCCCATGTGCCTTGCACTATTCTATGCTTGCATATGAGGGAACATGCACGATGAGAGGCATATAAAAGTGACATGTGACTCTCCCTCAAAGAGCTTTCAAATTAGTTTTGGTAATAGAACTCAATTGTATAAAACAATTCAAATGTTATTTATCCAGTAAGTATTTACTGACTACCTACTATGTGGTAGGCACTATTCTAGATTCTAAGGACATAGCAAGGCAAAAATGCTACATGCTAAGAATATAATAAAAGATAGGCAAAATCCCTGCCTTCATGGAGCTATTTTAATTGGGAAAGATAGATAAGCTTATATGTATTTGGCAAAGTATACAGCCTCTCAAGTGGAATAATATAGGAAAAAATAAAGCAGAGAAAGGACCTGAGATGTCCTAGGGTGTGGGTAGGAGACAGTGGGGTAATATGGTGGTTAAGGAAGGTCTATCTCACTGCTAAGGTGACAAATGGCCAACATCTGAAGGAGTGAAAAAGCTAGCCTTGTGAATATCTTCAGGAAGAGTTTTTAGGCAGAGAACAGAAAGTGCAAAGTAGTAGGAAATAGTCAGAAAGGTGTGAGTTTGGTGTTGGGGAATATATTCTACAGGGATCTGTAGGCTATTTTTACTCTGAATGAGATGAGAAACCACTGGAAGGTTTTAAGCAGCAAAATAGCATGGTCTGGCTTATATTCACTTTGGCTACTAGTATTTTGAGAATACACTGGAAAGGGACAAGAGTGGAAACAGAGAGACCATTAGGAGGCTAATGCAATATTCTAGGTGAGAGACTGATGGTGATTTGGCCCAGAATGGTAGCAGCTAAAGTGGTGAAAAATTATTGGATTCTAGATATTCTAAAGGGCAAAGCCAGCAACATTTGCAGATAGCTTTAAAGTTAGGTGCACAGAGAAAGAAATGAGTCCAGGTTGAATCCAAGGTGTTTAGCTGAGTGGAAGAATGAAAGAAAAAATGTAATGAAGTCTCAAAATTTGTTTTCAAAGAGTAACCACAATAAAACATCCAGAAAGGAAGAAAGAAGTTAAACATGAGTTTAGATAATTTTTTTAAATTATAATGTTACTACATTATAGAAAATGAAAAAAAAAAAAAGAACTGTAATCACTCACATTGCCTTTATGCTAACATAATCACTAATAATTTTGCTATATTGTCCTCCAGACTGTTTTCATACACATCCTTTTAGAAATAGCATTTAACAACTACCATTCATTCTTCAACAAATATTTAATGAATGCATACTATGTATTTGTTTCTGTCAGAATCTTTATATACATTTAAAACCATTTACAGAGAGGTATCTCATTCTTAGAGAAAAAGTAACCAAAGCTAAGAGTGATTAAGCAATTTGCTTAAGAACACAGACTTGAAAACGGCACAGTTGGATTGAACACAGATCATTCTCACCTGAACAATCTTGCTCTTCCCCCTGCACCTAACTGACTCTTCATACTCACAGTATAAAACGGTAACTCCTCATCACATTGATCAAATGCTATATATTTCCAAGTTGCACCATAATCTACATAACCTTCCATTTTTAATGGTACCAAATGAATGCACCATAGTTTATTAATACTATTAATTTTTATTTATCATAAATAAATGGCAGTAAACAGCTTTTACTAATTTAATTTTAAAAATACTTATTTGATTATAAGTGAATCTGAATAATGATCCATATGTTTAGCACCTGTATGGTCTATGTTATGAATTGTCTGTTCATGTTCTCTGCCTGCCCCTATTGGGATCTTCAAGTTTTCTTCTTAGTTTTGTATGAGCTTTATATAAAGACTTACTGCTTGCCACAATTACTGCAAACAATTTTCATATCAGTTGTTCACATTTGTTTTTCTAAAATGAAAGCAGTTTATTTTCCTCCCTGATTATTGAAATCATACATGATTACTGAAAAGAAAAACAGGGGGCTTATAGAAGAACATTTAAACTAAGTAAAAATCAAATCCTACCACCCAGAGTTAAGTACCATTAAAATTGTTCTCTAACCTAATTTTTCCCTCAACAATAAGTTGTACACATTTTTCATTCTCAAAAAAATATTTACTACATTCTCATTTTTAGTGACTGCTTGGTATTTCATTGCAGAGCTATACCATAATTATTTAATCAATTCCATAATTGTAGACATTCAGGCTGTTTCTAATTCTTATTCATTTAAGGCAATTTAATAGTAACTTACCTTGAGAAACCTACCCTCATCCTCTTTTTGAGCTAAAAACCATCTTATGTACTTACAGAACACCTGTGGATATTTCTATCATAATATTATGTCAAACTGTATTGTAATTGAAGTAGCTCTGGTGGTACCATGCCTAAGACATTTGGCTGCTAACCAGAAGGTTAGCAGTTCAAACTCACCAGTTGCTCCGCAGAAGGAAGATGGGGCAATCTATTTCTATTAAAGATTTATTGCTTTAGAAACCCAATGAGGGTCGCTATGAGTCAGAATCAACTCGATAGCAGTGGGTTTGAGTTTTTTCTGTTTTTTTTTTTTTTTTTTGTATTGTAATTTTACTTGTAGTTTACTTATTTGTCTTCCCTTCCATAGTGTGAATACCTTGAGAATAACTTTGACAGTGCCTAGAACATAAGAATGGCCAGACTTCGTCTCACCTATTTTGGTCATGTTGTAAGAAGGGACCATTCCCTGGAGAAGGATGTCATGCTTGGTAGGGTGGAGGGTCGACGAAAGAGGGGGAGGCCTTCAGGGAGATGGATTGATACAGTGGCTGCGATGATGGGCTCAAGTATAGCAGGGATTGTGGGGCTGGCGCGGGATCGGGCAGTGTTTCGTTCTGCTGTGCATGGGGTCGCTATGAGTCGGAAACGACTCGACGGCACTTAACAACAACAACAACAGAACACACTAAAAGAAGTAAATACTTGCTGAATAGTTAATGATTGAATATGAGACTAATCCATAATTTCTCTTTTATGTGTTTTTTTGGGTTTTAGTACCAGGGTCACATTTTCTTCCAATAATAAAAACAGATTTTTTTTTTTTTCCTTAATGCTATAGATCAATTTGTGTAACAACAGAAGTATATGTTTGGTAAGAAATCAACAGGAAAACCATGAAGGTAGCATAACAATGAGGGGCAATAAAACAAAGTAGTCTCTGGAACCAGATTGCTTGTGCTCTGACACTTCATAGACTGTGAACTTTAGCAAATTACTTCTGTTCTTGGTTCCTCAATTGCCTCATCCAGTAGAGTATAGATATTAACAGAACACACCTCAATAGATTATTGTTAGGATTAAGTATGTTAATGAATGTAAAGCATTTAGAGAGCTGCATAATAAGTGCCAAGTTAGTAGTAGTAATTATTGCTACAAAAGGTGGGTTATGTATAATATCTTTGAGGACATTTTATTGCAAAATACCAATCTGGCCAAGAATTAGAATGGTCAGTAAAACCTTGGAGGAAGGGTGAAGGAGAAGTGAGAGATGAGCTTAGTTTTGAGTAAGGAGAAATACATACATTCCTACCACACTCTGTACTTTTACAGGTGAATTCATGGACATTAAAAACTATATAATGTATTTTTTTCATTATAAAAGTAATAACTCTTCTTTGTAAGATATCGGAGAAATAGAAAGGAAAAAATGAATAAAAACCTCATAATCTTACCAACCTAAAACAGTTACTGTTAACATTGTTTTCTCCCTTCCTCAAGATAGCTGAGGAACCAATGCACATAGCAGTTTTTGTTCTACTTTTTTACACTTAATATTATCATATACACATAATTTTAATGTCTGAATAATATTCCACTGACATCTTTGTATATAAAGCTTTTCCATTTCTGCATAATTTCTTTGAAATATATTGTTATTAAAGAAATTACCGAGTCTATTCATACAACTGTTTTTAAGGCTCTTGACACACACTGCAAACTGCTTTCCAAAAAGGTGTATCAACTTATATTCTCCTAGGTAATATATTCACTCATCTGTCAGTTTGCCATACTTTGGCGGTTTGCATGAGCCTGTGATGCTAGAAGCTACACCTCCAGTATTTCAAAACCCAGTAGGGTTTCTCAGGGTGGACAGGTTTTAGTGGAGCTTCCAGAATAAAAAAGACTAGGAAGAAGGATGTGGCAGTCCACTTCTGAAATGATTAGTCAATGAAACATTATGAATAGCAGTGAAACACTCTCTGATATACCGCTAGAAGAAGAGTCCCTCAGGTTGGAAGTCACTCACAGTTAAGACTGGAGAAGCCGCCTCCTCAAAACAGACCCCCCCAAAAAAAAAACCAAATTCACTGCTGTCAAGTCAATTCTGACTCATAGCAATCCAAGACGGAGGGAGCTCTGGTGGCGTAATGCATAAGGCATTTGACTGCTAACCAGAAGGCTAGCGGTTCAGACCCACCAGTCACTCCTTGAAAGAAAGATCAGGCCATCTACTTCAGTAGTGATACTGCC